CTGCCGCGCCGTGCAGAGATATTCAAATAAATTTCTTTAAATACTTAAATATAAAAAGATTTTAAGTCGTCTTTTTTCCCCTCTTTTAGTATCATCTGTCATGAATATAAAGGCTATAATTTTCTGGGAGCTCGAATAAAAAATACAAAAATATAATAATATGGTCGGATAAAAATGTAAGAATGAAAAATTTCATTTATTCGAATTGCTTTGATAACCTTGATTTATTTTACACGCGTAGATATAGATCCTTAAACCGCGTTAAATTGTTTGATACGTCGGCTATCATGAAAAACTGATAGATATCTTCATCACCGAATCAGTCTTAACATTGTGCGATTAATCCGACAAAAACGAAAGTCGGGCAATCAAAGTCGCAAATCGACGAGCAAAGTTTTTGTTCGACGACCGCGTAGAGATCGTACTATTAAACGTTTCACTTCACCGGCAACTTCGCCAGCCATTCGTTTCTACTAATGCATCGCGAGGCAAACTTTTAATTCGACAAATACGACGACGATGGCGACGGACACCCAATGCATTACCTACTTAAAGACAATGATGTGGCCGCAAGCGTTTTCCGACAATGTATTATCCCGTCGGGCGGAGATATTTTCTCTGATTCCTTTTAAATGGTGGCGGTGGCTTTGTTTTTAATGCGCGTGACCCAGTTGGCCCGGCGCTCCATTTTACACATTGCACGTTGCATCTACCTCCGATAGCTTAAAACGAATTTACGCGGCGCATTCGTGATGATCATCCTGGATGAATCATTGGGAGGGAGTGTGTTCGGGCGAGTTCCGTTTTTCTTACATTACGTTACGGATGTATCGGACAATAAATTATCGCGTTGCAGTTAGCGACGTAGTTATAAGTTAATAAGAAAATGCGAGAATATATAACGGACGTTCAACGTACATGGACAAACTTAGCATTCAATTAGATCTTTCCCGTAAATCAACCTTCAAAATTTACAATCGCGCTTTTCAAAACTCGATATACGCGACAACGCCACTGGTAAGGGCTGTTTACTAATTAGCGACATCTCAAACGCATTCGAAACGATGGCAAGTTTGCGTCATGCAAAACAGCATATATGGTCTACTATTGGCATCTTTTAACAGCTCGGCATATTTACTTAGTAAATTATTTTACTGTGTTTTTTATAAGTGAAAACTTAAATCACTGTGTCTCCTTTTTATATATCGAATTAAACTTCGCTCTTCAGCTAGCTTGAAAAGCTAAATAATAACCTATCGTACGTCTCTTTTATGGAGTCATAGATGTTAGAAGCAAAACTAAGAGAAGTGGCTATTTGCCCACGTATGGAACATTTTATATGTGGAATATGCCCGATAAAATTGCTTCAGAGGTATGCACGTGGAAATCTGTACGTATAGATGAAAAGTAGAGCACGGGAGAATTGCGCCGTGACGAAGCGACAAAGCAGTTAAGTGATCGATCAGTCCTTAGGTGTGTACACCATCTTTGCGATTGACCCCCTGCGAAGCCCCTCCTTTCAGGTCACCATTATATATTACGTGGTGTCCGTGCCACATAATAACGTCAGATGCATCGCATAAAGGCACCGTCTACGCGACGGAGACCGATTATGACTGGGTGCATGCCCGACAAAACACGCTGCGGCATGTGTATAAAAAGCGTTCATATACTCGACTTTGTTCATTGCAACCGACGCGACGGTGCAACATACTCATCTCATATCAAACTCATACGGTTTTAGTAAATATTAGGCCACGGCAAATAATAAAATTTTATACTAAAATTTTAATTAAACTCTTTATCAGAAATTGAACCGTAACTAAAATTAGGTACGAGAGATATCTAATATTGAAAATTATAAAATTATGAAAAATAACTGTGCTCAATTAAACAAGATTTTTTTTTTATATTAAAGCAGCATTTTTTTGCTTCATATAGCCAAAATAGTATAATTATGCAGAATTTAAAATCGGAAGAAAGTGCATGACTTGTAGAAAGTATACTTTAATATAATTATAGAAAAATATTTCTGTTTATAAGATTTTCACAGAGTTGCGACACAATCATCGATTTTCCAATGAATAAAAAGTGTATACAATGTCGTTTGTAATTTCACGAACTAAATAGAAAACAGTGAAGTACGTATAGTAAAATTATATTTTGCGTTTTCTCCGTTTACTTTTTGTTGAGTGAAGTTTTTTAATGAAAGTTTTCATTATCTCTCTGTCAGTGAACGCAAAGAGCGAAAATTAAATAGCGGAAATTCTCCTCATCCGGCGTGTAAATAATTCAGAGCGTGAGCAAATTCGCACTGCGAGAAAACACGCCGAGGCTCGCTCTAAAATAATTCAACGACATTGTTTTATCGATCAATTTGCAATTCACTTCAAGCGTAAGCTGTCTTTGTAACTGACCCGATGACCTGCAGTACATTATATGGCCGCACATTGACGTTGGTACGGCATATAAGCGCAACTATGTGATAGACGTTATATACGATGGTGCGTTTATAAACTTTCTCACGTATGCACGCACACAATGCACACCACTCTCGCGAATAGATTGCATACAAAATAATGAAAAATGATATAACGATGATAACGCTGCCATGTGACTAACTCTTCACGCTTAACTAATTAAAGTACACTATAACGACTTGTTTATTGAAAAGTAAATACAGAATTGTGATGCACAGACACACACACGCACACTCACATTTTTTCTTTCTTTCTATTTCTACCGTAGATTTAAAAAAGATTTCTTAATAATAAATTAAAAATTCTTTTTGTTTTAAAATACAATAACATTTAATATTTCATTATGATAAGTCGTTTATAATTAAAAAGTTATTACTATATCTAGAAACGTAAAATTTTTAATTCTATTTTTCTCGCGATTGTATATGTGTGTGTCAGTCTTCTTTATATTTTCTAAATTATTTTAAACTATATTTTCTAAATAATACAAAAAAATGTCTCAAGTCATGCCAAAATTATTAAGATATGTGTATCAAAATTAATGTTCATGAAATTAGCAGAATATTATAAAATTAGTAAAAATAAACGTATCTTTTTCATGCTGCATTATTATAACACGAAATGAATATTAATACACATATTTTATGTTAAAATTTAACGGAACAAACATTAAATTCTAACTTTGTACGAAATTGCTTAAATTGAATGTATGGAGAAAGATAATAATGCTTTATTTTTTCTTTTTTTTACAATAATTGCGTTATATTTTAAATTGCATATCGCAGTGTGTGTTTTAAAGGTGTGCTTTTTAAAATATATTACCATAAACTGATTAATCGATTAACTCATCGTGCATCTGGTGCATCGTGACCGTATATTACTGCTTCGCGTCGAGCCCGCAATTTAGTATTATATTATGTGGTTACAACCATGTGCAAGGGCAACTATGTGAAACGTGTTTACATAATCGATATGTGCGATTTCGGCATATTAGCAGCATAAAACATATATATGTATATAGAATTTCCTCGGACAATGGTCCACGTCGACATTATATCCTTCATTAAAAATTGGAGATTTCACGAAAAGTCCATACATGTCATTACGATTGCCATTATAATTGGATGCATTTTAACATTTCCGAATGACATTGATAAAACATTGTTGAAGAATAATTTTTATAATTACTATAATTATTTATCGTAATTAAATAACAAGTTTAATGTTATCATAATATTTTATATATTCAAATACAAAATATATAGAATTACATTAATTAAAAACTATTCTGTTTATTATATTAAAATCTTATTTTTTGTGTATTATAATTTTATTATTTTATATTATTATTATATTATTTTATACCTACACATACGTAATTTTATTAACTTTATTAATTATTTACAAGATCCTTTATTATATATTTTTTCATTTCTTTGTTAATTATTTATTTATTTTATTTATTTAAATTTTTTAATTGTTAATATATTTCTGTAGACATTTTGTATTTGTTATAATAATTGTGTAATAAATAAATATACATATATTGTATATGTACATATATATATATATATATATATATATATATATATATGTATATGTATATATATATGTAAATGTTTAAATTGCATTATAAACTTTATACATAATATTTTGAAAAACGATAATCATATTGAATATTTCATGTGTTTACGTTCCCAGGATTTTACCAATCAAAAAAATATGCGTATATGAGATATTTGTTAAATTGCATCCAGTAAATTTTAACATGCATGTTATGCGAAATTATCAAAATTTATAGCTTGGCTCTTTATATAAGTATATATTTTTCCAGGCAATTTTAAAATATTACGATGTTAAATGAACGATAATCGAACTCAATATATATTTTCACGAGTAAGAGAGACCGTTTTAGATACTATAATGCACAGTTGGAAAGCAAATGACTCGTACATATAAAGTAATATTTTTAAATTTATGGATGGCATTTGCTATGTGATCAAAGAAATTTTTTTGCTGTCACGAAGCACTTCAAAAAGTTGATGAGAATAATGGTAAAGTTGACTCTCACATATAACATGTTTTATATTTAATGTGATGCGAACGCTGGATATTTCAAGAATATAAGTTTCAAGATATAAGAGTGCCACAATAAATTATTATACTTTTTGTGAGAAACATTATTAATACAGTTTTACGTAATATTTAATCGAGAGTTAGAAGCAGATGATAATTATATGTATGAGTTTAATTGCGCAATATTACTTAGTTTTTGAGATTTCCGATATTTCTGATTTTTGCAAATATATGTAAATTTTTTATCTTAAACTAATGTCTGACATATTTTTCAGGATGTAGAATAAACTTAGGAAAATATTATGTTCAAATAACGCCAATCTTTATTTTAAGAATATGTCAGTTCTTGTTTCAAAGATACGTTATTCGAAGTGCGGAAAAACATAAAAGAAGATATTTTTTATAAGGGTTTACAAATAGAAAAATATAATTTTTTTACATTACCTGTTATACATAAGGACATCAGGTTTCCATAACCGATGCGGCGGGATTCTGAGATCTCGCACTCCTCCATAGTCCGAGACATTCCATCTCATATTCACGTCGTTCCATTCCTGTAATTGAATGAAAGTTACGCAAATAAGAAATTGCGAAGGCTAGCGAAAAGATAAATATAAAAAATGACATTTTAAATTTAATAAATACTAAATAAATGACATTTCAAATTTTAAATTAAGCAAATAAATACTAACGAGCATAAAAAATTAATTTTTTTTATATATTTTTAAAATATTTTTTATAAATTTTTATATAAAATAATTTTGTGTAATATTGTTAAATAATGTTAATTTACTGATATTAGTAAATGCTCGTATTTGTTTGCTTGATATAGATTTAGCTTTACAGAAAGAAAATTCCAAGTTTTAGAAGACGCAAACGAAAAATATATTTTATAAGATATATTGTAAATATAGTTAACAGCTGTCTATAAGACATCCCTTTATTGATTAAGTTAACACATTGATTAGAGCATCTTTGAGTAAAACAACGTTTTACATAATCAATAGAGAACACGAACTTAACATATCAAAATCACGTTCAAATCTTTCACTGCGTTCTTTCTAAAGTGATGTTGACACTATCGATTTTTCAAGCGGCAAGTGCCGACCTTCGTTTTTCGCACAAATATTTTAGACTACATCGTATACGTCAAGTAAACACTACAGCATTTCAATTTAATTCTCGTTCGGGGAATTTACAAACGTGCAACTTTGCGAGGAAAGTCCTGTCCTTTTGCTTTTGTAATGTACAAAGCGCACTTTTGGGAAGCCACATTATGAGTCCGTAGTTCGTGTGCAAACAAATTCAATAAATTACTTCCAGTATCTTTCGCCATTTGTTTGATTTCTTTGAGTCTGTAATTCTGGCATGTAGATTTCTAATAAAGTTTTGTTAACTTTTATTGCAGAAGGGAGAGAAGAATAAATTGGTAAAATTAACGTTAAAAGTTTCCAACGAAAATTTTTTATCATTATCTTTTATGATGATAAAGTCCAATGTCCAGCAGTAACTTTACGACATAAATTTTAGTATTTTAGCAGTCTAATACTACATACAATATTAGTCTATCAAAGTATGCTTCTGAAATTATGCAAAAGACTCTACCATAGCAGAGAGTGCATTTAGTTGGGCTGAGGATTATGGTGCTACGTGCCCGCTAATACTTTCCTCGTAGTTTTCAAGAACATTTTTCAAACTTTTCTTGAGTTTTCATGACTCTTCCGAAGGCGATTTAGAGACTTGGAAATATTTGTGGTTCCGGGACTCGTCACTTTGAATCTGTACTCCTTATTTTCTTTGGCAAAGCGGAAATGAAATTGGCAGAATTGATCCGGCTTACGTAGTCATAATAGATCATTGCGCGTGTATTTTTGATCGAATTCTTTCAAAAAGATTATTCCGATCGTATAACAAAATCGAAGAAATATAATCGAAAAAAGACAAGTATATCGCGTTTGAAATATATTAATTAAATGTTTATGTTCATTGTCTATTGATTTTTCAAACAACATTCCACATTTATATTTCTTGTATCTTCACTTGTATCTGAACTTTCCAAAAAATTGGTAGAAGTTATATAGTTTCCTTATTCAAACTCATTAAGCTCTGCCATTAAAGATAAATCTATATGCTTATTTCTATATACATATAATATACTTATCTACAGTTTTTTATTACATCAATTACTATTTTATTAACAATTTTTTACATCTATGTCAAAAGTTATATTCGTAATTCAAGTTATATATTAAAGATACTTTTATATTAAATAAATAAGATCTTACAGGTTGCTAATTATAACCATTATCAGACGAATATGTAAAGCTACATTAAGAAAAATATTAGAAAAAATTTTCTGAGATTTTCCAGAAAATTTTCTAACAGAATGACAAATTCTTGAGACGTTTTTAATAACAAGTTTGAACTCTAATATGTAGTGAGCTCAAATTTTGTCGTTTCGATTGTCGCATTTGCCGATTAGTCACTGATCCTGATTGATTATCTGCTGATGAAGTGCGAGGTAATTAATAATGGTTGTGCGTTATTCAACGTGGCGCGGCGGTTTGTGGAGTCATCGTGCGTAAGCAATTATTATTGTATAATCACATAAGCAGCTACTAATTTTGCCGCCATAGTGTTTTCATACAGAAAAGTAGACTTTTTATATACAAGAAACTTTTTTCCGAATATATTATATTATTCGACTATAATCTGACATATACATATAGTGGTATTTTGCATACTTCTTAATATTGCGAATTATTGCCTTTATAACAATTTTAAAATAAATTAAATATACACTGTAAAAAAATATGTAATATATTACACAAAAATATGTAAAATTACATAAATAATAAGTGTAAAATTACACGATAAATAATGGAAATGATTACCTTTTCATTATTTATCATGTAATTTTAAATTTATTATTTATGTAATTTTACATATTTTTAATGTAATTTTACCAAATTTTTTTACAGTGTATACGTAATATTATATATATATATATATACTTAAAAAAAAACCTTTCTATGCAAAAAGTTAACGTTTCAAATCTTTCTGGTTTACCTGAAATCTCTTTAGAGATCTAATTTTCTTTCGGTGAAAATCCTGTTCACATTATATCCCTAAAAAACCTACTCGCCATTATCGTTTTCTTGTCTCAATACTCTATTTTTTAAAGGGAAAAACTTAATTGAGTCATCGGACGTAGACATTAAAGGTAAATTCTTCTTTTGCGAAGAGCCATCTTGTCGATCGCGGAACAAAGCTTCTGCGCGTTTTCCCGGAGCCAAAAGCAATTCCCGACCCTGCCTCGGCTGCGTCTTTTTACAGACGATATCGCTCCCTTATTGTCCCGTTCTATGAAAAGCGAGATTCCCAAATGTGAGCAATGATCCGTCCGTCTTTCGGAGAAGAGACAAATACCGGCAATTTCGTTTCGCACATTCGCTTTACAAACGTTCTTACTTCTGAAAAATACACCCATGTGAAGGGTGATACACGATCCGATGAACCGGATGCAAAAGTAACCGGATATAGGATAAGAGTCACGGGATCGGAGCGGAATGGAATTTCTTCGCGAAACGCCGTGCAATTTTGCGAGTCACGCGGATTCCGAGCAAGACGGCTTTCGAGATGAATACCATTTACAAGTTGCATCTTTAGGAACGCGACCTATTTTCGAAAACAGTATCTTTGTAGAGAAAGAAAATTCACCGATTTATCTCTTTTTTTAGATAAAAATATATTGCGTTACGTGTTCGTGATTTATTCACTTGTTACATATCTTTAGAGTTAGAGTATACTTTTCTTTAAAATTTTATTATATATTTTAATCCCGATTCTTGTGTAATTATAAGAGAAAAATAATTACATACGTAATAATGTTTGAGCACTAATTGTTTCGGAAGAGAATTGATCGTTTGTGGCCGATTTGTGACCAACCCGTTAAACGCGCTTTCTAAAACAGGAGTGGCTCAGTAAAAGATGAGCGTAAAATGACGATGGTAACGATGGAAACCCATAAAACTTAATAGCATCACAAGCATGTGTTTTCATCTTGCGATTTCGCTGTTTATGCTATTTCACGACCGGCAATATAGAAGACCAGTAGAACAGATAGATAGAATTATTATATATTAAAGTAAGAAAACAAGTAAAAAAAGGAATACAAATGTTACTTAATAAATAATATGCAAATAATATATCATACGATAAGTATATAATTATATGAATTATAGTGAACAAATAGAAATATCAATGAATAATTCATCACAATATCCAGTAATTTTCATAAAAAATCTTGTTTTCAAACTCTTTGAAGATTGGATAACTTTTCCTTAAAATTCTTTTACAAAAAGTTAATATATTTTTAATATTGAACTACTAATTATAAACGTAATACAATAATTTTAGTTTATCACTTATCATTTAAAAACATAATTTAAGTTTAAAAGTAATAGTTAAATTATATTATATTTGCAGAAATAACTAATTTATGTGCTAATATATATCTATATGCTTTCATATACTTATTTATATATAATAATTAAATAATATTTATATTTGAAAGCGAGGGATGGCTATAAAATATATAGCGCTCTATGCAAAACACAATTTATATTTTATTAAAGTCAAGAGAGAGAATGTATCTATCAAGCGTTTCTCTGCACAATAATTATACATCGACGTGAGCGAAAAGTGGGAACTCTCATGTAGTTCAGTGATTTGCATGTCTAATCCGGTCTTAGTTAACATAACTCCATGGAGAAAACGTGTCTAATATTCCTGCGCGTACCATAATTCCTGCAACTGTATGTGGGATATTCATAAACTTGAAATATATATCTGTCATACTATCTTTAGCATTATCAATTTCTATGTCGTGAATGGAGAACTCATTATTTATTTCTTTGCTGTTATATAAATTTTGTTAAAACTTTATAAAACGCGTTTAACATTGCTTTCGTTATTATTGCAAATTTAAAATAAACTTTGCGAATTGAAAATAAACTCAATATTTTTCTTTTCTCATACAATTATAAATAATGTTACACTTTTATTGCAACATAAAAATTATGTTTACCAATTTTGTTTTGCTAACACCTTAGTACATCGTTATTATTTGTGCAAATAATTTGACATAATCAAGAGAAACAATATTAAAATATGAATAGTGTATTTATATACAGGCTGTCCTGTACGTCGCCATAACACATATTTTATACTCATACGAAAATTTATTTTCCTTTTTACGGATTATATTATATCGAAGCGACTTTTGTCCTTACTCAAGAAACGCAAACATATAAATGCATTTTATGAGTTTAAAGGAAATGCCTTTTATGAGTTCACATCCATTACCAGTCCATTTGCTCGAGACAGCTACACTCTGTCTTGGAAAGAGCGTTCCAGCGGGCAACGCTGTAAAAATCAAGTATAAAATACTAACGGCCATTCTTTCTATAACGACAATTACGTATCTGAAGGATATATGCTGCCACCCGCGAAACGAAACATAGCGAGACATCGCGCTAGGAAGATCGAGACA